AAGTGTTTTGTCAGTTTACAAGCCAGAGAGTGAATATGCTGCAAGGAAACTGAGGGAACTGAAACAACAGACCATTGATACAGGTTTGTGATGTCAGTATTTTACTAAATTGTTGTTAACTGACACAGCTAAATACCAACTTGTACTTCTTTTCCTCCTCTGTGACTGGTTAGGATTGGTTCATTTTATCAAAAAAAATGGTAATAACAGGGTGATATAGGGAAGGGGTAGGGGTGTGCATCCTCCTCCTCCATTGTTCTCTCAGTCCCATCATGCTATGGAAACCGAGGTTTATCTCTGGCTGGATCAGTGTCACCCACCTACCAACCAGTACCAGTCTTCATCAAAATCAAAAGTGTGGAGGGTGGATTTGGGGGGAGGGAGGGCTTTGTAGCTCCAGTTTTTTATAGAATTACCAAAACCATGATCAAAATGAACCTTTTTAATTAACTACAGTACACATACATATCATAGTTTTGTGAAAATTATCAAGGAATTCTTGTGAGTCTTTCATTATTCTTATGCCTTTGTTCCTTTCTGTGAAATGTCACTGTGCAAGTTTTACGAACTTCACGAGCAGCTTGCAAGCCTCTGGGAAGGGTGTTGACCAAGACCCCTTGTAGCTCTCTTTACTCGCCAGCTTGAGTCACTTAGGCTTCTCCACTACTCCGCTTATTAGGCTCTGCTTGAGCCTACTTACAGGCCTCAAATTAAAGGTCTTGAACATGCTTTTTGTATTTTTAATAATTAGGTAGCTATCACAATTACTGTGGCAGAAATTTCTCCCATTCAATGTATGCTACGGAGATGGAATAAGCCTGTCATTATTCAAATCAGTCTCATATAATACTAATATTAATATTATTTTTTATCCATCAGAGTTGCCCGTACGCCACTATACAACTCTAGAGGAGCTAGGTGATCTGCTGATCAAAGATTGGATGGCAGTCATTGACTTGTTGTACCCTCCGATCGATCCACATGTGTTCAGGAGCACAGAATCAGAAGTCTTTCGTGAGTGGTCTGCTCACGAGGCCTTTGCTGAGGCCCGACGACAGGTATTTGTGAGGACACCAAGGATCAGAGAGATGGTAGAGGTGCTTAGCCTCCATGCGGAGGTTGAACAGGGAATTAAGAGAAGGAGCAGTATGATGGTACCTTCTGCAGTACTGGGGACTTTCATGACTAGTCTTCCTGGCAGTGAGAAGGAGACCCTTCCACCTGTGTTGGTGCTTGCAGGTATATATTAAAAAGACTTGTTCTATTCAAGTGTAGATCAGACAAGTGGATGCAAAACAGACAATATTTCAATTAACAAAGTCATGAAATTTGATTTTTTTTCTGTGGTATAAAACTACCATTAGACTGAGATACCGAGTAAGATAGCTTGGCACAAAAGAGGCTCTAACAAACCAAGATGTTACAAAAGTGGAAAAGGTTGAGATGGTCACATAATTAACCAAATTGAGGCCAAAATTTTCAAGATACACATTCTGTTACTTTTTGCTCTTTTAACCTTTTAACCTTTAAGAGTGACCAGCATTTAATTTCCCCTCACAATATCACCCTGAATCAAACATGAATGTCATGAGCACAAAGGAAATGACCATCAACTCAAAGCTCCAATACATTTATTGAAATGCTTTTTATCAGCTCGTTGGGAAATTTATAGAAAACCGTATGGAGAATATGCACACTGACTTTAGGGTGTAAGCTTAGGGTTTAGAGGAAAGGCTAATCACCAACTACAGAAGTTTTTGATTGTTAAAGAAAAACTCATTGTCAGAACCATAGGAAATTTTTAGAGATCAGTGTGGAGAATATGCATACTGATATTAGGATTTAGAGGGCTTAGTCAGCACTTTTAGCACGTTTTCTAATCCTCTGAATCTGACTGAATGTATAGTTACATGTCTCTTTTTTGTTATTGTTTTGTTTTCATCACTTTTTGTAATATTGCAATTAATACTGCTGGTAAAAAAGTCTTTCTAAACAAAATCTTTGCTGTTTTTAGGTGAGAGTGGCTGTGGTAAATCTACCCTCGTTTCCCATTGGCTCAAACTGATCACTGCTAGTCATCCCCAACTCGTCACCATTCCTCACTTTGTCGGCTGTGATTCCGGTAGTACTGACGTCACCAACTTCATGCGCCGCTGCACAAGTGAACTGCGGCTTCATTACCTTGATTCCGACCTCGATGACTCCAACGACATTAAAGATCTCAGCGACTTCACGCGTGTCATTGAGGCGTTTAGGGCGGCTTTAACGCTTGGGCCGTCTGTCATTGTTTTAGACGGAGGAGACCACTTAGGGCACGCTTTGGACGTTCCCGCATTTACAGTAAAAGAGATGCAATGGCTTCCATCCTCCGTCCCAGTTTCCTGCAGAGTCATTATTACTACGACCAAATCTGATATGACCTATCGTGCTCTCTCACAGCGTAAAGATGTCAACTGCATCGACGTGCCTCAGTTGTTTGATGTTAGAGGAAAGACTGACCTGTTAAGGGAGTATGTAGGGTCGAACTACAATTTTTTAGGCTCATCCCGGATTTCCAAGATTACTTCCTCTAGCCTGGCGCATCTTCCGTTGTATTACGTTGCGCTGGCTTGTGAATTGCGTGTTTTTGGTGCGCACAAGAACGCCGAGAAGTTATTGGAGTCATATGTACACGCGTCAACCCTATTTGATTTGTGGAGTTTGATATTTCGTCGTTGGACCCACGAGTACGGTTGGTTGCGTCCAGCGGTTTCTAGAGGCCCTGTTCCCGCCATAAAGGCGCAGGTGTCGCGTGATCGTATGAATAGTGGCTGGGTGGCTGACGTGCTAAGGCTCTTTGTCCTATCACGTGAGGGTTTATCTGAACACGAGGCTTTAAGCGCCTTAATGATCATGGGATACGTGAGGAACTATGAAGTAACTAAGGCTCATTGGGAAATGCTCCGTTTGATTGCAGAACACGTGCTTACTGAAATGCCGTCTGGGTTGTTGACTTTCCCTCACCAGTCCGCTCGCGGTGCCATAGAAATTGCCTTGCTGGGTAATCTGACCTCCCCATCCCAGGAGCGCCCGGTCTCACCCCTATTTAAAGGGAGCTGGGAGCGACAGAAACAGCAGGGTCACACAGTTCTCACGAGTCTCTTTTCCACACAGCCTTCATCCGGGCGCACGGTGGACGAATTACCATGGCAACTCAACATGGGTGGAAACATGGAGGCATTGTGTAAAACGATTTGTGAGCCGAGGGTATTCGTGAGGCTCCTAAACTCTTCAAGTGAAAAACGAAGAAAAATCGATCTTCAGTCATACTGGAGAGTTTTAAAAAAGGCGAATCGGAAGCCTGAAGAGGTTCTCTATCAAATGGCAATTCAGTCGTCAGAGAGACTGCATGATGAATCCAAGGAAGTTACTACTCGAGAAGTCGGATCTGCCTCGTCTAAAACGAACGATTCTTCGGCCATTGATAAGTTATGCCGAAAGGCGAACGATGATGCCTTGTCTCAACTCGAAATAGCGCTCGTGCACTATTTCGCAGGGAAATTCCTGGGAGAAAACGGTCACGATCAGATGGCACACACCCTTCTTTTGAACGCCTACAAGATGGCTTATCCCGTGATCTCAGTAAAGGACATTTACTTGATGTGCGATATACAGGAGTCATTGGGGAATTTTTATCTTAAACTGTCTGAGCCGAGCAAGGCGGCGTTTTGGTTTAACGGTGCATTTAAGTCTGCAGGGGAAATGGCTCGTACTTCCGATTTGGTGAGACGCTTTTTCTATCTTCAATACTCTAATTTTTGAAACAACATTTGAAAGTGAAAATTAGTTCTACCTTGTACAGCACATTAAACAGTGCCTCATGGTAGTACTGCACAGTAGGTTCCGTATAAATGGTCAGGCTAAGAAGTTATATTGTACGACGAACTTATCTAGCATAAGAAGAAGCTTTTATGCCGTAGCATAGTGTTTTAAAGGTTGAGCATGCGCGAGGAGATCTGGAAAACCGGAAGCCAATTTCCCGCGCAAACAATTCAAAGGAAAAAAACAAGAAACGACCAAAACAAGTGAAAGAAAATTGAAATTTTTCATAGAAATTTGGGAATGAAAACAATAGTAGGGAAAAGGAACCCAAGAGACTTATCGAAGAGAAAGCTTATGTAAGTAAGGGTTCCCTGATGATTTACAATTCTGTTTTGAGCTTTACCAATAAAGTTATACGCTTTTAAAACACCGTGGCTTACTGGCTTCAGCGTTTGTTTGTTACTCGTGAAACACCTTGATTCTGAGAGCTTGAAAGCATACTTAATCAACGTTCTCGCATGCGCAGACGTTTAACAGCTGTATTATATGCATTAGCTTTCAACTATGGCTTAGGGTTTTACCGAAATATCAATGCTAGGTGAAATGCCTCACTTTCTAAGGAATTACCTCCTGTTAGCTAGTTTGATTCGTTTATGGTTGCATTTATTGGCTTCCAGGTTGAACACGAAGCTCTGATTGGTCGTCTGCTGAATTATATCGCACTCTGCCAGTTACCAAGTCACGTGCCTCTCCCACCGGAAGTCCACAGCCGATCACGAGCGCCTACTCGTAATGGAAGAGTGAAGACACCGAATTCCGGAAGAGAACGAGAAAAGACAGAGGAGATGGGATCAGAGAACATTGGCACCATCTTGGATGAAGCACTGAGGCATATGAAAATTGTTCAAATGTTTCCTGGTATGTCCTTAACAGTGAATTAATTGGTATTTACTTAGTCTCCATGCAGAACTCTTTCGACGTTGCCTTGTACTTTTACACTGATTGACAGCCCTGATCCTTCTTTTACACGAATTTACCACTTTTATCTTTTTTAAACTGTCTTAGGCCAAAGCAGCGTCTATTCTCATATGGGATTGTTAGCTGCAAGGCAGAGGCGAAGGGAAGACGCAGAGTCCTTATTCCGCAAATCGCTCAGTATGCGCGAACAGTGGTATGGCTCGTGTCATCCACTGGTTGCTGAGATTTATGATGCGTTGGCCTCGCTTTCATGTTCAGACGCAGCAGAATCCCCGGATGTCGCCACAGCGGAGGAAATGTTTCGCCGAGCTTTGCACATGCGTGAAGATCTCTTGGGACAATCACATTTACTGGTCGCGAATACATTATTCAAGTTAGGTAAGTGCGAAGTTATTGATGGGTTCGATATATGGACTTCAAAGCTTCTACCATGAAAGTTTTATGGCCACCACCTCTCAGCTTTTCGCCTCCCGGATGGGAGGCCAATCCACATCTTGTAGAAGTTCAAAGCTGATGTTTCTAGCGCTAGCACTTCGCTGGCCAATTTGTTATCATCTCAGTTGATAATACCAAATTTCCTTGTTATGCTCTCCCACCGACGCAGCACCACAGTTTCTTAAGAAACTCATCCCCTTTACTCACCTCTTGTGAGGTTTCTTAACAATTTATCGGAACCCCTTTCCCCCTCCTGGGTGTGTCTCGTCCAACTACTCAAATCAATGACCTCACATAGGACTGGAGCCAAGAGCTTTCAATACGTGGTCCACTTTGTGGACTTCAACGTAACTTGGATTTATTAACGAATCCTGTTTAGCTTTGGCTGACTGAGTCAGTTTTACTTGTATTTTTATTGTTTTTGTTTTCCTACATCAGCCGAAATTTTATAGGCTCTTCTTTCTCAATTTCCAGGGAAGCTTCTTCAAGCTAAAGGCACGAAAGATGCTATAAGAGAAGCAAAGTTACTTTTCCAGCGCGCATTGGACATACGCACGTCAAAACAAGGCGTTTATCACGCAGAGACCAAGACAATCAGACGCGCACTCATGTCCCTGGAAACTGTTGATGTAGGCGCCAAGTTTAGTGGAAAAGGAAGCGGGAAAGAGAAGGAGCTGCTTGCTTTAGAAGGCGTCAGAAGTCGACCGTTAACTAAGGCGTCTTCGAGAGTTGATTTCCGCCAGGCCAGTGCGTCTCAATATTGATTCTGAGTTCTTGCTATCGTCAATGTTTGGTTTCCGGTAGGAAACTGCTCAGCAGCTGCTACGTACATCCCATTGTCACTGACTAATGATTGTCATGAGGGAACAAACTTACGTAACCTTCACAACGACCTGACCCTCTTTAAAATGTGAAAATTCAACCTCGAGTTCAATTTTTCTACATGTACGAATCAGCCAACAAACAGTAGTACTAATTTTGCCTCAGCGAAAATTTAACCAGGAAACCCCAACTAACAACGTCTCCAGGATCTCTCGTCTTCCCCATAGAGCGAGATTCTGGGTGCGAAGTAGAACTGGCTGGAATTGTTACCATCCCTCCCCCCGTAATATTACTTGTATGTCTTGTTCAAATCTTTCACAAGTCAAGGAAATTGAATGTAATTCAAGATGTACATACTCAAGACAGTTTCATATAAATGAATTTTTATTAACCTTGTCTAAAACTATTCTTTTCAAGAATGCAATTCACAGCACAAGAAATTTAACCAATAAGGTGGCACGCACAGACAAGGGAATCAACTTCAGTAGAGGTTCAGGGAAAAGATCTATCTTTTGTAACGCCGATTTTATTGTTTTTGTATACGAAATTACAAGATTCTAAGTGACTTGGTGAAACAAAAACATGAAGCAGCTTACAAAAAAAAGCATCTCCAATATATTTTTCCCGAAAATCTGACATCTTTCTTATAAATATACTCATTCCGAAGAGGCTTAGGCCGCCATATTTTTGTACAACCGCGACAAACAGCACCATCTCTCGAACGCATCCAAACTGTAATAACGTCTAACAAAGTTAAGTATTCTTTTAGTGGTTAAAGTTCGTCCTTTGCTTCAGCCGGGGCTTCTTTTGATTCTCCCTAGAAGGAAAAAAAATGTGGTGTTATTTCATTCTGGACCATTCTTCTTCAACGTTCGGCATGACAACTCAACTGATACACATTTTAACTTGGGCGTTTAATACTTTGGGGCAATTTTGGTTTTCTTTTGACCTGTTACACGTAAGTGTCACTACTTGGAAAGTAATACGTCGCTAAGCTTCCTTCTCAACCTCCCTACCCCCCTCCCTCCTCCTCCCTGAAATGATAGAACATCTATGGACAGACTAACTATTTGTAGTTTACCTCCACTTCATCTTCCTTCTCCTCTGTCTTTGTCTCTCCTTCTGATGTTGTCTCTTCGCTGGCTGCTGATTCCTCCTCTGTCTTCTCCTCATCTTTGTCTCCCTCTGCATCAACCTCTTCTGCATCCTTGTCTTCTTCCTCCTTCTCCTCGGCCTCTTCCTCCTCGGGTTCCACCATGGCTTCCAGGTCTACTCCCATGCTAAGACGAAGCATGCGTTCGATACGTCCAGCGAAGTCCTGGGAGTCCTGAACAAAGATTCACAATGTAAATGAATATGTACAACTGCAGAATTAATTTCCTCAGTACAAGCTCTTCTTTCAATTCTAATACATCAAGTAAATAATTCACAGGAATTAAGCAAATTACATGTATCAACCGTGGATACTGCAATGATTAACCCGCGTAGTAGACGCTGTGTGAGATGCCGCACAAGAGGCCATTTTGCTGATGATGAAGAGGACTTCCGTACTGAAAGAGTAGCTAGTCTGAATCAAATGTCTCATTTCTACCCACAAGCAGGAGTTTCTTCTACGCTAACAACCCTTTGAACCCTTAGAGTGACCCGCATCTAATTTCTCCTAACATTAATAATGCCGAGTCATTTGTTAATACAATGAGAATTGCAGGAATGATCACCAAGCTAGGAAGCTTTCATTGTTACACAAATTCTCATTGCTGGTACTGAAGAAATCTATAGAGAACAGCAAGGGGAATATGGATAATGATGTTAGGCTGTCAAGGGTTAAAGCTAATTACACCAACCTTGACCATGTATCCAGATCTCAAAGTAGCAGTTTCAAAGAGCACACGGGCAAGATCTTTAGCAGTTTTATCCTCTTTGTCAGTTTCCACTCTTTTCAGAAGCTCCTTGACCAATGGATGTCTTGGGTTAACCTCCAATGTTCTCTTTTGGTTGGCATAATATCTGAAAGAAATTTTGTACAAAATCAATCAACCCCTTGTGTCCTGAGAGCAATCAGTTTATGGGCAACAAAAACAACATCTCTGGTTCAGGGAGGTGGTCAAATGCAGAAACGTGAACAACAGAGTATAATAAGGTCTTGATTTTGAAACAAGTTTGCGATGAGTGAAATGATGGCAGTAACAGTAACACCAGCTTCATTAACATAACAGTTGGTCTTAACTATCATGCCAGATCACTGTAGCTACTTTTTACTAACATATGCCAGGTGGAATGCATGGCAAATGGGAAAGGGAAGTAGCAAGAAAATCCATGCCATTTTAAAATGAAAAGGTTGTTGGCACAAATGTGCATGTCCTATCAAACCCTCAGATACTTTGGCAACATAAACCAGGTTGTCAAAAATATTTTGAGTAACCAGCTATGATACAAAGTACATGTAGGCAGCACATTTTCATGCCTCCATACTGAAAACTGAGCCACAAGCATTTGAAATAGCTGACAGATTTTTCAGAGTAGACAGGGAAATGCACCAGTTGCCATCTTCTTTTGACAACCTTGCCTAATGGTTGCAGCAAAGAAAACCAACTTGACTTCAGAAGTTAAAGAATACAACTACATGAACTATGCATGTGCACCACAAAAAATAGACTGGATAAAGTAATCTGCAGCCTATCAACTTTGATTATAACGGTTTCTACAGTTCCTTCCCACTTACTCATTACTTGGGTCTTCTCTCTTGGCATAAGCCTGCGACCTCATAATTCGTTCCATGTTTCCAGACCAACCATAAGAGCTGGCAACAAGAGCACAGGGTGACTCATCCAATCGCTGTGAGACGGCAGCCTTCTCAATCAGATCTTTCAAAGCGTCCTCCTTCAGCCATTTTAGCAGAGGCTCGTATGTGCTCTCTAAGGCTTCTAGCTTCTTCTTCTGTTTCTCTGATTCTTCTCCGATCTTCAAACCTTCCTTGGCTACATTTTGGAATTTCTTGCCTTCAAACTCGGGCAGACTCTGGATGCAGTATTCATCAACTGGCTCAATTAAGTAGAGCACTTCATAACCCTTCTTGAGCAGACGTTCCACAAATGGAGAGCTTTCAACCTTTAAATTAACATGACATAGAATTATATAAATTATATATATACATGTAGGTACAACAAAACCTGTACATGTGAAGGTATGCAAGCACATTAAAGTTACTACCAACAAATTAGGTTGCCTCCTGGAAAAATTTTCATACGCACACTACTTTGAAAGAGACCATGGAAAAATATATATCACTGTAAAGCTTAAAAATTATAAAATATTCAAAATTTGAAACTTTTGAGCAGAATTTTTTGAAGTAACCTTAGTGCATCATCTTTAACCAACTAACAACTCAAGCAAAGTGGGAAAAGCTCTTCTGATACAACCTTTCCATTCATAAGATAACTAACCTAATCATGCAAGTGACCAAGACAAAATTTCTCCTTACAATATCAACACAATATCAAACAGGTAGGTGATGAGAATAGAGAAGAATATCAATTATGGGATTATTAGCTGATCCAATACCAAATTCTCTGAGCTAACATCATAAGAATTGTATGGCAGACAGTAAGGAGAATTACTAATTAGATCTTGGGAGTGAAAGGGTTAACAGCTGGTCCTGGTTGTGTGGATAACGCTATCCACTGGATAAATCTAGATGGTTAGTGATTTATCCACTGAAGAGCACTGTCATCCCTTTAACAACTGGGCCTGATTTCTATTATTGTGCAGGATCTCACCTCCTTTCGGCTGGTTCCTGCCATGAAATAGATTGCGTCTTGTTTTTCCTTCATCCTCTCAAGATAATCAGCCAGGCTTGTCATGTCCTTCTCAGAATTAGAAGAAAAGAATCGGAGCAATTTGGCCAATCTGGTTCTGTTGGAGTGGTCCTCCATCACACCTAACTTGATGCTACAATGAAAACAAAAATTTCAGTTTATTTCAAGGAGATTCAATCCAAGGAAATTATTGAAACTAATAAAAATCAAGGATGAGATCAATTCTAGCAGCTTTGATTTTTGGGCAAACTTGAAGAGGCTGAACAAAAAAAGAAAAAAATAATAATGCAAGAAAATTATATACCTTGTGCTGAATTCCTTCCAGAATTTATCCATGTATTCTTCCTTGGGGATCTTCTTGATCATGTCCAGAGCCTTTCGTACAAGCTTCTTCTTGATCACCTTCAGAAGTTTGTGCTGTTGAAGATTTTCACGACTGACGTTGAGAGGCAGGTCATCAGAATCCACAACACCACGGATGAAGGAAAGATACTTGGGCATCATATCTTCAAAGTTGTCAGTGATGAAGACACGTCGCACATACAGCTTAATCTGATCCATCTTCTTGCCATATTCAGAGAAAAGGTTGTTTGGGGCGGATTTTGGCACATAGAGGATTGAACGGAACGTGACTTCACCCTCAGCAACAAAGTGGGTCTTGGCAAGAGGCTCATCATGATCCTGATAAATAACATTCATTGTTAATATGTAATACAGTATTGGTGTCATTTAAAACCATGAAATTTTGGAAAGTTAGTGCAATAGGCAGCAAATTATTTTTAAGTACATTTTTACTCAACCTATGACATACTCCATGCAACCATAAAGTGTACACCTTTACCACAAATAAAACAACTTGGAAAAATAACACAAATTGTTACATTCCACACAAAACCTCTATAGTTACACATTTACTGACTTATTGACTCACAGATTTTTTATCTTCATCTTTCTTATTAATATAAAATGATTTTTCATGGCATGGGAAAGAAACAATCCGAGAAAAAAGTCAAAAAGTGAAAAGAAACTTTAGATCACAGAATTCCAAGTTACACACTGGTTTGTTACTCAATAACAACTGTACAAGTTAAATCAGTCTTTCAGAACAACACATAGCACAGTTCCAGAAGATACCTTAGTGAACGATTTGTAAAATTCATTGTATTCTTCATCTTTGACATCTTTGGGTTTTCGGCTCCAGATGGGTTTGTTTGTGTTAATAAGTTCCCAGTCCCAGGTAGTCTTTTCCACCTGAAAAACAACAACATAAAAAAATAAATAAAAGTAACAAAAAGGTGACTTCATTAATTTCCATCCAATTGTAACTTTGTAACTTCCATATCAATTGCAGTCTGCAGACTCCAAACTTTAAGTTTAAATTTGCAAAACACTTGTCAGTAAAACTTCCTTCTACAGATAATTTGTTTGCCACAAGTACAGTTCCTATGAGGGTTAATCCTCCTACTCTCTTAGAGAAAAAAGTTCCTTCACACTTCAAACCCCAACAGTGATAGGCATCTTATTTCTCCCAATATCATTTGTGAATTAAACATAAACGCAATGAGAATAAAAGAAATGATGGCTAGATCAAAAGGCTCTTGATCATTGTGTAAATTCTTCATGAAAGTGACAAAGAAAACATTTAAAGAACAGTGTGGAGAATTTGCAAACTGATGCTAGGGTGTTAAGGGTTACTTAACCTGCAGCAGACAAACCTTTTTAGTCTTTGGTTTCTTCTCCTTTTCCTCTGATTCCTCCTCCACCTCTGCATCATCATCCTTGTCTTCCTTTTCTTTGTCTTCATCTTTCTTCTCCTCTTCCTTCTCTTCATCTTTCTTATCTTCCGCAGCTTCATCAGCTTTCTTGTCTTCTGCAGCTTCCTCCTCAACTGGTTCCTCTACTTCCTCAGTCTTGCTGGTCCACAGGTAAATGTTGAAGTTGATGAACTGACTGTACTTCTTGACAAGGTCTTTGATGGTGTCGGGCTCAAGGAAATCGCGAGCTTCTTCTTTTAAGTGAAGGCTATGGGACAAAACACAATTTTATACATAATCAAATAATTCAAATAATGAGGCATTATCTTGCCTCTTAAAAAAGCATTTGTCAAACTCTTTGAAAACTAGGTGGAGGATGGAAGGGGGGAGGAAAAACACGCATTTCTGCTTAAAATGCACAGATTCAAACAAATATTTTACCTAAAAAATACAACATTAGACATAATAGGAATATTTGTCCTAAAATAGAGGGTAAAAAAAAAATAAAATGATTGTAAAATAGATGATCACAATGACTGCCAAAATAAGGTAACAACGCCAGAGGAAAAGAACTGATGTCAAGAACAAGGAGAAAATAGTTGAGGAACCAAGCTTCACCTTTTCTTCAAAGCCAGAGGCCAAAGTGTTTGATAAATATACCACATACTGGTAAATCACCCTGCATACACTATGTTTGGACAGATTGTTTAACGTACATTGAAAAGTGGATATAATCACCTGACAGTTGTTCCCCTCTTCAGGGTGTCACCCCTAGGATCCTCTGTGATGCTGAAGGAAGCTGCATCAGACTCCCAAATGTACTGCTTGTCATCATTGTGCTTGGATGTTACAATCACACGGTCGGCAACAAGGAAAGTCGAGTAAAATCCCACACCAAACTGACCGATAAGATCACTTGCCTGATCACTAGACTGAGCGTCCTGTAGATTCAATAAAGTAAAGCTTTAAGGATATGGGGACAAAAGCAAAATGACTAATGTAACACTCAGCACTGCAAAAAATGACTGTGGGAAAACATAACTGTAAGGGAGACCTTGAAAAAAGGGAGTACATAAGTGGGGTTTTGAATATTGCTGTGCACAATTAAGCTGACATAATTACCAGACACTTGCATCAAATCTACAAATGTAAGCATCCACACCATCAAAGTCCTAATTTGGTTAGCGTGTGCTGCACTCTGCATCAAAGGCCTAAGGAAGTACAGAAAAAATTCTCACCGACATCTTCTGGAAAAACTCGCTTGTTCCTGACTTGGCAATGGTACCCAGGTTTTTGACCAGATCATCTTTTGTCATACCAATGCCAGTATCAGTAACATGAAGGATGTTGTTCTCCTTATCAGCTTTGATCTTAATTGACAGTTCCTCTGTGGCTGCAAGGGCTGACTTGTCCGTAAGTGACAAAAATCTGATCTTGTCCAATGCATCAGAAGAATTGGAAATAAGTTCTCTCAAGAAAATCTGAAAGAAAAAAAGATAATTTCAACCTCTGATTATTACCAGGTATCTTTTTATTTTTGATCGAAAATAATGCTAAGAACAAATTGACATCATCTACTGGTGGTACCAAAATTAATGAAATAATCAAGAAGTCTACAACAAATTTTCTTGTAACAGTGTTCAGTACAATAGTATGAATAAAGCTTGTATTTCTACCCTTCAAGATTTCGAAAAGTGCACATTTAAAGATCAAGCTGAATGTAAAAGTAGGGCTTAAAACAAATTTTTGAATGGAGGCCAATAAAGCCAACTGACCAAAGAAATTTAAGCTTGTTCAGAACCCAACACTGACCCATCTCATTCATTAAATTACAGTTAAGATGACTGTACATTAAAGACTTTCCAAAATGTACACAATTTATCAACTTGACGCAAGGTGGAGTTTTTGGCTGTAAGTCAATATTCTGGCTAAACACCATCCATCAAACATCCACTTTTTAGAGTTTCTAGAACCAGCAGTTTTTTCCCTCAGATCTTGCTTATGCCATAACACGTCCAAAATGGTCAAAATAGAAAGTGCTGTCAAATTTCTCCTACCTCCTTATTTCTGTACAGAGAATTGATAATCAGCTTCATCATTCGGCTAACTTCAGCTTGGAAAGTGTGTTTCTCAGCCTTCTCTCTAAGTTCTTTCATCTGAGCCACATTCAAACCATCCAGTTTGATAGCTTCCTCCTCCCTCTGAACAGCTTCATCATCTGTCTTGGATCCATCTCTACTTTTTCCAACATCTTCATCTACTGTGGGTGGTTCTGTCTCTGTTGGTTCTTCTGTCTTTTCTTCTTCTGCCAAACAAAAAGCTGCAAAAAAGGAACCAAAAAATTAAGTCTACCATGAAAAGTCTGACAAAAATCTCGTCTCAAAAAGTTGATACCAAGAAGAACAAGACAAAGATGATGCTACTTTAACAATTGCACATGTTCCCCAGAGCTCTGAAGACTCATGCAAATAAATTCAGTCCTACACTCTGATTTAAACTGTTGTTTTCAAGATAGCAAACCACTGTTTCAGTCAAGTACCTATCAAAATAATAATTTATCCTTCTAAATTTCATTACTCCCCTTGCACTAATGCTTCAGACACTTTCTTGCAGTGGAATTTCTGACTTAGAATAAAGAAATGCATGTCATAATTGTGTCATTTTTTCACAATTTTTCCCCGTGAAAATAATACCTACAGCATTAGAATTATAAGCTATGCAGACAAAAATTTCAAAATCTAGCAGCAAATCAACTTGAGAGCTTTAGTACCAAGTAATTATCACATTAATTTATAGTCATGAAACAGGTATCTTTTACAAACAACATGAGAGACATTTTGTTTTATCAGTAGATAAAATAATTCCATTTTTCAATTCTCTTGCTTTTGAAACAATAAGATGCCATTAACTGAAAATGAAACATCTGGAGAAAACCTTTTTAAGTATGTAAGGTGAACAAACAAAACAACACATAAAATCCCTTAACTCAAAAACCTGTGGTAAAGAACTACATTGTTTATAACAAAGGGCTCAAGTGGACCACAATGTTATTGTTAATGAAACTTAAAATTGCACAAGAAAAAATAAAATAAAATAAGTTGAATAAAAACAAATTTCTTTCAATTTCTTTTCAAATAGTTGACAATCTCTATGAGCTACAAGTACTTGTTTATCTTCAAGATGTTGGACATATCTGGCCAATTCCTATTGGTTGATAGCAAGTATCCAATCACAGGTTGACATATCTCGAGGGCTGGATTTTTAAAAGTTTTGAGTGCTTTTTCTAACAATTAGCTAATGCAACTTCCCAAATTAGTGCTTTTGCAGACGTTTTCCACTAAAGCTGTTTCAGAAATAACTTTTTGCCACCTCTTATATCTAAATGCATGAAAGTGTACCCTAAAAATTTTCAAATAATCCACTCCAACATGATTTGAAAAAGAAGGGATTTCCCAAACTCAAACCCTCAAAATCATCTCAGTTAGAAATCTAATAAAGATTATCTAGTGGCTCTAAGGAAAAATAATTCAACTATGTAATATTTCGTTGTAAATTCACTTTCTATATAAGAGTATTCATTTAAATGTAATTGAAGTCAATAAGTTATACCAGAGAAACATTGTATAATAAACAATACCATCAATGTAAGTATACAAGTCTAAATTATCCTTTAGGACCGTGTTTCGTTTCATAATATCCACAATTTCCGAGTTATATTTCCGACGGTAGACGTACATGAATCTAAATCGTTGCCAATAAGTACGTTGCTAATGGACAGTTTCCAATCGACACAAGTGAGTGGTGAAATCGAAAGGCAATCGATCGTGACTTGACAATATAAACGTATCGAATTTTGCAATTACCCACAGACCGAATACTCTGAAGCTTACTTTTAAAACAAAACGGCCGAAACCTTCCCTGCAAATCTGACGTAGGACTATTTGCTTTCATGTACATTGAAACGAAATAAAATTTTTCGTGAGCATAAAAATTATTCGAGGAAACTGTGCGAACTGAAATACTTGCAAAACTCAACTTTTCCTTACGCAAAAAAAAGCAAGAGTACACTTACAAGAAATAAGAAGTAGCCCCAAGAGGCCTAGCAGGTACGATTTCCTTCCCATTCCTTGAAATCAAGATAAAACAGATGTAAATGACAGCAGTACCGCAAAATCTGTGCTAAACTTTGAAGTGCAAGGAAGTACTATGCAGCTTTCAATCGATCCAAACCAACCAAAATTTTCCACGGCCAAAGCTCGTGTCTTGTTCTAATTGGCTAATCTTAGTCACGTGCTTAACGTGGAGCCCTTTGGTTGGTTTATTTTTCCATGTCATTTCATTGATTCCCATGAGTGAGCCCTCGCTTTGCGCCGAGGTTTAAAAAGTATTTGAGAGAATTTACTTTTAAACTTATTAAAAAGCTACTTAGCTTTGTTCTCAAATGATCAATAGATCTACCAACTCTGAAAATTTCAGATATATTTTAATGTTTTGTCTCACCTCACGTGGAATGATTATGAATTTAGGACGCAAAAAAGTGATACAAATTATTGTACAATGGCTGATCAAAACTTTATTCTCCTATCTATTAGCGCGGTTTTCCCTGACTCACCAGCGGTTTTCTCTTCAAGAGAAACACGATAATTTCACCGGGCTGAAATGTTATGCGACCAGTTTTCTATAATATAATCTTGCTTTAATTCAGTGATCGAAGTTATATTAACCTATTTTCGAATGATGTGGTAGAATTCTACCCTTCGAATTTCTGCTGTTAAATTTGCACTTGTAGACACATTGCAGCATTTTTTTTCTCACGTGAGAGCTAATGGAAGTCTCTTTGAAGATGTCAAAAACCTTGATTTTACAAATCTTTATAGTTGTAAACATTTTAATGTGCACCGCACTTAGATCAGCTGCTAGGGAAAAGAAAGCCAAATGCCCAACGTGTAGAGACATCGTAGAAGCTTTCAAGAAGGTAAATATTAAATGCTTTTATCTCACCTAACTCCTAATTATTGCATTACAGAACTTTGTCAAATGATTAATTATGGGGCTAAGTCAGCTTAGGTATATTTTGTGGTGTCGTATTTCGTAAGATTAGATAGAAATTTAATGGACGGTTTCGATTTTTGTTTCTGGAAAAATTATCCTTTGTTTATTTTGTTTTGCTTTGTTTTTTTTCTAGTTTTTGGCCTAAATATCTCTAATGATATAATAGAGAGGATGTGCAGTAAAACTTTGACAAAAGTTTGAGAGACGTGTTAGAATTAAATAACAAATGCATAAATTAACTCGTAAACCTTAAGTATTAGATTTTTTTTTGCCCTTGATCTTGCTATATATCTATATTCCTTGTAACTGATTTGAGGAAATTTGGTGCTAAATCAAGGTAATACCTTCTAGCTGATAGATTTGTCAATTCTTGTGAATTCTTTGCTGTTTAATCTTTGGTTATTACAGAACTTCTTGAAGTTGAGCCATTCTTTCTTATGTTATATTTTGGTATGCAGATTTTAGGACAGATGTGAGGAATAAAAAATTTGACTGTAGCTGTTTTAAGGTGACTGGAATAAATTTGCATCTTTGAGACATCTATTTTTAATTAAAATTACTATTTTTAGGGAAAAGAAAAAACAGCAAAAGCTAACTTTGGTGGTGGAAACACAGATTGGGAAGAGAGGAAACTTGGAAGCTATGCAAACAGGTATTTTTTGGAAAAAAAAACTTTATTCAAACTTTTACCATGACATTATTTTACTATGACTCAGCTAAATCCACCAATCACAGAATTGATCACAATTACCATAGCAACAACCACTTACCTTGAAAAGAAAACTGGGAAATTTCCAAATTTTTTGCTTCAGACACTGTTCTTAGCGGAGACATTTGTCCTAATTGTATTTTCTTTCCAGATATTGTATTGGTTTGATTAATTGGTAGCAGGACTTCATGTTGTCCAGTTCTGTCTGTAATCATACTTATTATTGACAAATCAGACTCCCATTCATGGTCGTCCAATTTTGTTAATAACTCGTGTGATTACTGGCTGAATTGGACCCCACTCGTTCCTATTACCATTATTAAGCTGTAATAGTCTTCCTTGACTAAGTCCTTAACCCATTAACTACCATGAGTGAGCAACCGAAAGTGATGAGAATAAAGAAAAATATCAATTATGGGTTTACTAATTGATTCAATACCAAATTCTCCAAACTAACTTAATGAGAATCATTTGGCAGACAGTACGGAGAATTACTAATGAGATCTTGAGAGTTAAAGATTAAGGCCTGTTTCTATTGTCTTCCACCTGTATTGAATGGCCACTTAAAGCAGAACCTCTCAAATAAAACTAAGAATAATCTCTCAAGTCAAATTTATTCTCAAAATCAATGTTAGTACTTTGAGAATTCCCACAAGTTATTGCAGATTATTGTTTTTCTTTGAACTGTTAGGACAACTATTATGCACAAACAAAGCGCAAGTCATTTGCTGGTCAGACTGTATTAAAGGGTCAACTTGTTGTATTAAACTGTCACCCCGCTATTACCCATGGGTGACTGCCTAACCTTTTAACTCCCAAGATCTCATTAATAATTCTCCCTACTGTTTGTCATACAGTTCTAATAATGTTAGTTCCAAGAATTTGAATTGGATCAACCAATTATCCCCAAAATTGACATTAATTTTTTTCTCTATTCTCATCACTTATCTGGTTGATATTGTTTTGATATTGTAAGGAGAAATTCTTTCTCGGTCACTCATGGGAGTTAAAGGGTTAATACAGGTTTGACTGAAGTGGGCTGTTGTCCCTTTTCTTTGATACACTCAGGAAAGTTACCAGTTTCTTGGTGATACCACATCTCTAGTCTGGAATCCCTCTGCTATGGAAAAAACACTGACTGATGATGTACTGTGGGGCACAAACAAATTTGTACCATTGTTAAGTGGATTAAATAATACCCTAGAGTTCATGCCACACCTTTTTGAAAGAGTGCAGCTTTTTATTTTAGGGTTATACCTGAAGGAAAAAACTACTAGTATAAACAGTTGGTGGTTAATGTTCTTTTGTTTTCTTTTTGACTAGTGAAACCAGACTAGTTGAAATTATGGAAGGACTTTGTGAAGATAGTGCTTCAGAGGTAATTTTCTTTGAAATTTATTCCTTTAGTTCAAAACGTTACTGTGAAGTCACAGGATTGGAGTATTCTAAATTGTGCAAAATAACTTAGCTTTAAAATGAAGGCAATTTGCGGAGGATAAAATTTTAAAGAGATATTTTGCATTTTTGCCATCATTCTGTCTTTCTTACGCCTCCTTGAAGAAGGGCACAAGCTAGCCGATAGTTCAGTCCCCTTGACTTCTCCTAGAAAATAAACTGTCTTTGATTGTCAATTTTTTTCCTTTTTTTTTTCTTTTTTTACAGTGCCATGCAATGGTTGAAGAACAAGAAGAAACATTAGAGGAATGGTGGTTTACCCAGTAAGTGAGGTTTTGATGGTTGAAGTTTTTTATCCTATTTCAGGGAAGTCACATGGAAATCAAATGACATTCTTTAAGTGCAGCAATTTTGTGCCCCAAAAATATCAAAAAGTTTTTTATTTAAAAACATGCAGTCCTAACGTTTAATGACTGTTTTCTTTTTCACAGCCAGTTTAAAAATGATGACATGAATACTTGGTTTTGCATTGACAAGTTAAAAGGTAAGTGTTGTACATACTGAAAGTTCCTTTTTATCACTTTCCTAGCTGGAGTTCATTATTTTAATTTCTTTTTTCTTTTCTTTTTTTTTCTAGTGTGCTGCCCTAATGGCACTTATGGTTCAGATTGTAAAGGTATGCCTACTTAGCAGTCTTCATTTACCACTGATGATTTGCAAATTTCACCTTTTACGGCTTTAGACTTCAACAGTGTTCACTTTGTATGTGTTCTTTACAGTGAAATGGCTTTCATTTTAATTTATTAATGATCAGACAAATGTTTTGTTCAATGTCAGACCCCATGTTTGTCATAATGAGTAAGTCTCCTTGGCCCCTTTTCAACTTAAGCTAATGTGAACCAATTTTATATGTACTTATTTTCTGTTGCTCATTTAAAAAATAAATTCATCTCTTTCTAAAAGTTTTCCTTCTATTATTTTGAATCTGTAGAATGTTCAGGAGGAAAAGATACTCCTTGCAATGGCCATGGAAAATGTGAGGTATGCAAGTATCAATTTTGAATGAAAGGGCTGAACTTTTATACAGCTTATTTTTAAGACATTGTAACGGAATTAACTCTTGGACCTATGCATTACCAGCTCTGTGTTGCAAGGAGTAAAACACATGCACAGTGTTGACCTGATTATTTTATTTTCAGCTTACCAGTAAATGTCAGGAATTGCAGTGCCCTTGTGAAAAGTACCCTAGTTTTATAATAAATATCTTTGCAATGATATTTAGGGTGACGGCACAAGGGAAGGAACAGGAAATTGCTCATGTGACAGCGGGTATGAAGGTGACTTATGTGATGAGTGCGAGGAGTTGTATTTCGAGGAGCAAGATGAAAATTCTAAGCCTAAATGCACCGGTATGTATTCTACAAATTATCTTGGGTTTGCAACTCCTTGTGTTATGTATTGTTACGTAAACAGCTGGCACTTGATAACAAACTGTTGCTTATTTTAACAGCGTGTCACGAGTCTTGTGCAGACAGTTGCTCTGGCGGCTCACCCAAAGACTGTGAGAAATGCAAAGAAGGCTGGGATATGACAGACGAAGATGGATGTAAAGGTATTTGTTGAAAAGTATATTTGGCGCGACTGTGTAGTTCCATGTATGCCCAAGAGCTGTGCTCCTGCCCTTTCTTAACGGATTCCAAGAGCGAGGGGAAAGTTAAAGTTTAAGCAGATTACAAGCAAGACAAGGGATAGGGAAAGCAAGTTGCCGAATAAAAGCGCAGGAAAATGGAAAGGCGATGCAAAGAGCGGGGAGTAACATGCAGGTTGTCTGTCTCAATGTTAAGTGAATGCTTGAGGAAAGTCATCGTTAGAAAAGCCCGAAAAAATGTATAGGACTAGTAACAAGCGTTGCTTCACAAACAACGCATGCCAAGCGCAGGAAAAGATACAGGTAGAGAAAAGTGCGGGAAAGGATATGCAGGCGTTATATACGTAGTAAGGAATAAAGACTGGAATTGGGCGTACAGGTGGGATAACGTACAACGCAAGCCAAGCGCGGGAAAACATAAGTAGCGGGGAGAAGCGCGGGAAAATAAACGGAGCTCAGCGAACTCAAAACCATAGCAAGCATACTCTGTGGTTACTTTTGAGTTTTGACAGCCAACGGGATGCATGTTGTTTTGATTAATGTATTTTATTCTTTTCAGATAAAAATGAATGTGATGAAGAACATATCTGTGGAGAGGGACAGTATTGTGTGAATAATCCAGGATCTTTTGTTTGTAAAGGTAATGTGTATGACCCATTAATCGTGGCGAGTTTATTGAGTGATTTTCATTTCGCCGACATTCAGTTGTTTGATTGACTGCTCGCAAACGTAGTCTCGAAGTTGTTACCAAATTCTCATTCGAAGACCCAAAACATAAATGAATGGTCATCATCTTGTACTTAAAGAAAACCTTACTCCGTTAGATCGGGCAATTCCAAGGCTCTCAGACTTTGCGGGACAGCTAAAGAGCGAGCGGGCTACAAAATGGCGGCTATTCCGATCCATCCCTCCATTCGGACAGATAATAAGTGACTTAACAATTCACTTCATATGTATCTTTTTCAGGCTGCGATGATTCTTGTGAAGGCAACTGCACTGGGGAGGGTCCAAAGGGATGTCTTGAATGTGCCAGCGGTTATGTTAAGAATGACGAAGAAGAATGTAAAGGTTAGTTTATTACAAGAAATGAGGAGCACTTTGTTACTTGGGATGTGATAGATATATCTCGCCGAGGTTTTATTTGTTGCAAAAATGCCACAAAACGCTCATAGCACTCAACACTTTTAAGAAAGCAGCCTAGGTTAGTAGAAATTCAGTTTTGAAAATAACGAAATTGCATTTGTTGTTGAACTAAAGCTCAGCTGTAGACTAGGGGAGAAGGGGTGGAGGTTTGTCCAAGAGAACATGCGAATTAACCCCCCCCCCCAACCCCGTTGCCTTAGCGCTCGTTTAAGCCTCTGGCAAATTGTTGAAAACCGCATTTTGGACTGAATAACTAGTTGCAAAAGGTGAACTTAAGTTCGAATATATTTTAAAGTATTTAATTAACTTGAATTTTTTTTCCTTAGATGTGGACGAATGTTCCGAGAATTCAACCATCTGTACCAGCGGAAAATTTTGTGATAATACCCCTGGATCATTTGTTTGTCGTTGTAAGAAATCTTTCTGTCTGTCATAATTGTTTTCCATCTGTCCCTTTTAAGACGTTTTGATATTTAAGGAGAGGTTGTTTTTAATTCACCGTGCTTTTATTTCAGCCTGTCACTCTGCTTGTGAGACTTGTATCGGAGAGGGGTCTCGAGGTTGTACAAAATGCAACGCTGGGTATCAGATGACCGAGAATGAATGTAAAGGTAATAATACGCTTTCTCTATCAATGAGAATATCAGGGATAAACAGTGAACGCAAGCTAAGCGGTTCTACCTGTTTTATCCCTTTAAATCCCAAGATCTCATTAGTAATTCTCCTTACTGTCTGCAATATAGTTCTTGTGATGTTAGTTTGGAGAATTTAATATTGGATGAAGTAATAATCCCCTAATCAAGATTTTTTCTTTGTTCTCATCACTTGTCTGCTTGATATTGTATTGATAGCGTTAGGAGAAATTCTGTCTTGGTCACTCATGGGAGTTATCGGGTTAACCCAGTTTCCGTAGCATAAAGCGAGTTGGAGAATTGCAACTCCTCAGTCCTGTTGGACGGGATCAGTCTAGCCCGCGAGCACTAGCTTCGTTAGTAGCGCTGCAAGACGGGTATTTCTCTGTCCGTGGAAATATTTCAAGCGAATCACGGAGAGGTTTTCAGGGGGTTTGGCTCTAATAATCAGTGCTAGGCACCTTGCAGACCTCGCGGCGACTTACGTTGTTTAAGGCCTCACACTTTCCCGCGGGCGAAGAAACACTCGTGCCAAAGCACCAATGATGAGGGCCTGGTCGCCAGGATTAGCCTTTCATAGTTGACCACCCTGTGATTCGTCAAATGCCAAGAAGATTTGAACTAAGATAATTGAAAGTCGCCAGTTTGCGACCGTACACCATGACATGGTCGCCAGAAATTATATTTAGTCGCAATTTTCCATGGAAGATGGCGACCAAGAATTGATGGTGTTTTGTGCAAATGATTATCTAAGTGGTAAAAGCGTTACACCTTACATGAACGTCGAACACAGTTTGTGAATTGTCTTTTTCGTTGTGAATTGTCTACTGCCCAAGTAGCGTTAATACTTGCGATGATGACTCTCATCTTAATAGTTCGTGAAATTCATTATGAGGACTTTCGCGGTCGCCGAAGTGTTTTCCGCCCATCATGTCGACCAAATCGGTCACCGCTTAGAGCGCTGCGTTTACACACACTGATGGCGAAAGACCGTTTGAGTCTTACATAAGGGCCGTTTGAGTCTTACATAAGGGGAGCCAACTAAGGCTCTAACCCGGATAGTTCGATCTGAAGTCTAGCGTGGCAAACATTAGGCCACCAAGTTCCCCACGAGAAATCTTCAAAACGAAGAAAAATTATTTATGTTATTATTTAGATAAGGACGAATGTTCCTCAGACGAACACAGCTGCGACCGAGAATCAGAAAAATGCCGAAATATGCCGGGTAGTTTCACCTGCGATTGTCAGAAAGGCTTCAAACGTGATGGGGACAAATGTGTGAAAAAGAAAGGTAAAAAAAAGACGGATAAAGGCAAAAAGACAGTGGAAGAAGAGCTTGCAGATGTGCTAAAAAAGGGCGACTACTTCAGCGAAATGCAAATGAAATTTGGTTCCGTCTTATTCGCATTATTTTTCGCTTGTGCAGTTGCCGCTGTCATGAAACGCAGCTTGCTTGCTATAGTTGTTATGACTGTTGTGTATGCTTTCATTTGGTGGTACTTCAGAACGTGACAGTTGTGGACACCTGAGGTAGAAGAAAGATTCTGCGTGATAGATGTAGGTCTGATTGTGGAGATGAAATGCAAGATCTGCATAATCAGACCCATTCACTTTTTGAAGCTTTTTGGCCTGAACACTTATTTTAGTGGTATCCCCCGAGAGGGTTTTTTAGAACAAGATAGACCCCCGTGTTTTTTCTTACCTCCGAGGTCGAACCACGTGTTGCTGTTAAACCAAAGCCTTCGTAGAGCCAATTCGTGCGTTATACATGTTCTATTAGTTGATTGAGATACCTGACTGGAGGTATCAATTCTTCTGATATCATATAATTTTTTTTCAATCTTGATAAAAATTCTAAAAAAAAATACAGAGAGAGTTAAGTTCAGGGAGATCAGGAGGTTGTCCATTTTTAACATCTTAAAAGATGTTAATGTAGCCTGAATCGTATAAAGTTTAATATATCAATACATCTATCGAATCAGAGGGCCGTTGTTTGTAATTGTTGGTTGAGCCGGGTTGGGAACTTTGCGATCCTAAACAAGCTTGGCTCTTTAGAGACATTTTGCACCACGAAAAGATTTTAAAAATATAAATGAAGAGCTCCTTTTATTTCAGCCGAAAGGCAGTTTATCTACCTACCTTAATTTAGCTGAAGTTTTACAGAAAACAATCGGTAATTTAGCTCGTTTATAAACTTTGACAATTTAGAGTAACATTTTGCCTATATTAATACTTTCAAAAAACCCCATTATTAAGGATGAAATGTAGTTGCAGGAGTTTTGTGTATCTCTTGCGTGACAACATAGTAGTGTCACGTAATTCGAGTTACATTGTGCTAATGACGTAACTTACTCTTAAATGCTTTTATCCAGAAATTCACTTGTGTGGTGTCACTTTTGCTGTTGTTGCTTCTCTTTCTATCGGGTTTCCTCTAACATCCCTCTTTCAAGAGGAGGAAGAACTCCAAGTGTTTTTTTTTTTTATAAACGATGTCAACTCGTTTCTCTAAAGGTCGTGTGTAAAGTTCGTGAAGAGTGTTCGTTCTGCTTGGTTGTAGCTTTATGGCGTACGTGTGCTTGTTTTTTCTTTGTTTGCTAATGTTATGTGTGTTTATTTGGGTTACTTCGTTTTGTTTATTTTGTTTTGTTTTGTTTTTCTGTTGTTACTGTAGCAGTTGTGAAGCATGAAGAGGAGCAGGAGGAAGATGATGACGAGGACGATGAAAAAGAAAAGGATAATAGCAAAAGTGACTCCAGCGAGAAGGAGGAATTATGAAACAATTCTTTTGTAAAATTGTAAGGGAATTTAGAAATAAATTATTTATTCAATTCTTAACAAACCTTGCTACACCGCCCACTAAGAAACATTGTAGTGAGGGTACTCAAGGTTTCTACCCTCCCAGGGGGTTCTAAGTAGAGTTATCCCCCCTATTCGCCTCCACCTCTCAAACTGCGTGACATCTGCGCACGTACACTGGCAAGTGCACAAAAGTCAGACACGAAAACACCTACAGATTGCAAGTATAAAAATGGAACGTGCGCCCCTGATCGTCACACTACACTTGGGTTTTAGACTATTCTGAGTTAAAGAAGTGCTTTACTCTACTACTTAAAAGTCGTAAACTATGTTTGCACATGATTGTACAACATGGAAGGGAAATGTATCCCAACACAACCTGAACCAAATGCATATTCATCTTACTAAGGAAGAACTGGGAATAAGTCTAGATTGAGGGTTCCTGCGATCATGCCTGTTCACATTATTTCTCTCGACAACAAGAACGCCAGATCGAAAGTTAGGAGCAGGGAGAAAGACCGCATTCATTGTTTAATTTTCTTTTTTTTATTAGTATCTGTTTCATATTTCTACTTCCTTGAACATTCGAAGAAAAATCTACACCCTGTGGGGACTTTCTCGCAATGTTACTCTCTGCTCCAGGTATTTATTCACCGATTTTTGCTCGCTCGCAATATCGTCTTTGCTACACGACGGTTACAGTTCTTATAAAGAAAGTAGTGAAACAAAAGTGATGGCAAAGAGCGGCGCCAAACATCACCGTGGCTCTTTAGGAAGTAACTTTATTATCACTTAGACAGAAGGGTCCACATTGCGCCGCAATCTTTAAAATACTTTCATTTGGCTCCATGAAAACAAATTCTTTACGCTTCAGAGTTAAATTGAGATATCATAGTCTACTTATTCTGATTGCATAAGAGATGAAACGTCGATGTATCACAAACCATGTTACGCTGTCAGACGCAACGAACACTCCTAACGTCATGGCTCATGACAGAAAGGAAACGATTTTTAGTCACCAGTCTCCGCTACTATAGCCACGTCACATTTTTCCACTTTGTGTTAAAATCAATACTGTATCAGCTACAACCGTATCCTCTGATTGAGGTCTGAGTTCGAGTACGAGGCAGCAATATTTGCTCGGCGCATGATGTGTGGAAGCATGCTCATTCAACTAATAATTACATTGTTATCTTTAGTTAGAAGTTCTCCGGTTTCTACAGGCAAACTGATTTGAGTATAAGGTATTCAAAGAGGACTCAATTTTTATTTCGTTTTAATCGTTACTCAGAGTCAATAATCGTCGTCATCGTTATCAGGTTGGGCAGTCTCCACCTCCTCGTAATCTTTCTCCAGAGCAGCAAGATCTTCACGCGCTTCAATAAACTCTCCTTCCTCCATGCCTTCGCCGACATACCAGTGAACAAACGCGCGTTTAGCAAACATCAAATCGAACTTGTGATCCAAACGAGCCCACGCCTCAGCGATGGCAGTGCTGTTACTAAGCATGCAAAGCGCCCGGAGCAAATTGGCCTGATCCCCGCCGGGGACAACCGAAGGGGGCTGGTAGTTGATTCCCACCTTGAAACCCGTCGGGCACCATTCGACGAATTGCACGGTGCGTTTGGATTTTGTGGCGCAAATTGACGCGTTCACGTCTTTGGGAACGACGTCGCCTCTGTAGAGCATACAGCAAGCCATGTACTGTCCATGCCTCGGATCGCATTTGACCATCTGATTGGACGGAAGGAAACATCGGTTGGTTATTTCTGCCACGGTCAGCTGCTCGTGATAGGCTTTTTCTGCGGAAATGATCGGAGAATAGGACACCAGAGGGTAGTGAATTCTCGGATATGGCACAAGGTTGGTCTGGAATTCAGTCAGATCGACATTCAATGCGCCATCGAAACGAAGAGAGGCAGTGATGGAGGACACTACCTGCCCGATCAGACGATTGAGATTCATATACGTCGGTCGTTCAACATCCAGGTTTATCCGACACAGATCATAGATGGCCTCATTGTCCATCAGGAACGAACAGTCTGCATGTTCCAGAGTGGAATGCGTGGTCAATACAGCGTTGTAAGGTTCGACCACTGCTGTAGACACTCTGGGCGAAGGATAAACACAAAACTCCAGCTTCGACTTCTTGCTGTAATCAACAGCCAAGCGCTCGATGAGGAGAGAAGAAAATCCCGAACCTGTTCCACCACCGAACGAATGCGAAAGAAGGAATCCTTGGAGACCAGAGCACTGATCCGCCTGCAAAATATAAACCAAAGCCCTTGGGTAGACTAGGAAACTCTTTACTGCGATGTAGAGAATACAGTAAGAAGTTTTCTCGTCTACCCAAAGGCAAACCACAGATTTTCCAATACGTGATTTTAAACCGTCATCCATTAAAAAAGCACAACTGAGGCAGACAGAACAGTAGCGCAGACGTCAAGAACCGACTCGCCTGTAATATGTCTAAACCCAAGGCTGCAATTGAAACTAAACTTAAAACGAAAACCGCCCCACATGGCATGAACCCTCCCTGCAAGAGGGTTATAAAATTAATCACAAATATTTTGAGCCCACAGCCGTGGGTTTATACAAATACAGAGCGAGACAATTCCTAACGGCCGATTGTCACTAATGGGTCTTTCGAACTCCTTTAAAACATATCCTAAAATTTCGGAAATTTTGTATGAGTGTGTGCAGGTGTACATGTAATTTTTCTTTCTGTATACAGGGTGAGGTTGACCGCAGGAAGGGGCAAATAAAATCACCAACAGATGTACTTTTCATCAGGGGATTTTCTTTTTTAACAATTTTTTTATTTTAAGCCCCGAGTCATTCATTCTTCTGATCACTTTAGAGGAGGTGGTGAACTTTTAGTTTACTTTTTTTTTCTTATGTTTTGTTGTTTTGTTTATGTCACTTTTTCCTTAAGCATTTTTATCTGCCACCACCGTTCCTCAATTTTATTCATGTTTTTTGTTTGTTTGTTTTCTATTTCTTTTTGTCTCTGGGGCTTTCTTTCTTTGATTATTTTTGTTGTTGTTGTTGTTTTTGCTTATGTTATTTTTTTCCGTCGTTTTCCTGTTTTATGCTTTTCTTTTCCCTCCCTGGAGTACATCTGTTAGCCATTTCATTTGGGGAAGGGCCCGACCGGGTCAAACCTCAGAAACCAGTTGTTGTGGATCATTTTCCAATCACACTTTCCATTTTGCCCCCAAAACACCATCTCCGTCAACCGCAAGCCAAACCTTCAAAGTATTTCAAGTCTTTCCCTCCAAAAGCAATTTCACTACTATTCCTTCCCTACCCATATCTGCCTCAGTGGCCAAACTCTATCAACACACAACATGATATCTAACTAACGTCTACCCTTGCAGTAGTTTCGAAAAACCACTGACCATTCTTCGGATTCTATCCATCACCAGGTCGAGGATTTCCTTTCCTATGGTGTAGTGCCCGCGAGCATAATTGTTAGCGGCGTCCTCCTTGCCACTAATCATCTGTTCCGGGTGGTAGAGTTCTCGATAAATTCCTGTACGTGCCTCATCTGTGGACAAAACACGATCAGTGATCACCAGAATCTAATCTTCACAGAGGAAATAACCACATCGTGATAAAGCAAACAAACAAATACGATAACAAGAGCACAAAACAAAAGCAACAAGAACAGCTAAAACAACAAAAACTTTGGATAAAAATTGACTTTGGTGTTTGTTTACTGACTACTTGCAACCTCCCATTTTGTTGATAGAAGGTCAGGACACTAGCCATTTGCAGCACAAGTTTCCTACCTCTCCTCCACGGTTGGGTAGCAGTGTCCATCCTTCCCTCCCCTCCCGCCCACAGACCTCTTTTGCTTATAATACAAAATTTTAGTCGAAGTTTTGACGCGATAGGGGTGGATTTTTGAAGTGGTTTAACTGCATAATTTCGTATATTCTCCTTTAAGGATTTTCTAGAGCAAGAGCATTCAAAAAAGAAATTGCAAATGACAAAAACAAAGCAAGATCAAAGGGGAGAAAACACGGCAAGTCAGATTGAGTTCTTTATGACTTTTAAGCCTAGGACCAAAATACTTATTATAATCCTTATCGGAGAAAAAGCAACAAATGCGAGAACTACAAAACAGCTTAGAAGAAGGCTAAATCACTTTCAATCGATAAAGCTTGGTTAGTATCGGTAGAATGTTACTCCTCTATTAACCAGAATTCATGTACACTTAAGTAAAGTTGGTTATATCTTGCTGAAGCCAAGTTCATAGTTGAAAGTTAAACTTTTGAAACACAATTCGTAAGTCCTATTAAAATATTTATTTTCATAAACGCCTTCATACTAAGGGCAACTATGGAAGCGAATATCGGATCAAATCAAAGTAGAGTAGGATATTTTCATCAAATTGTTAGCGACCTACCCACGACAGTTGGTTCCAGGTCGACAAAAATTGATCGAGGAACAAACTTTCCCGCCTCTGTCTCGTTAAAAAAAGTGTTGAATGAATCATCATGGATTTCACAGGAAGGATTGCTGATTTTACCGTTCGCTAAAATGCCATGTTCAAGGCAGTATAGCTCCCAGCAAGCGTTGCCGATTTGGACTCCAGCTTGTCCGATGTGGACAGAAATACACTCGCGCTAAAAGACATGGTAAAAAAAACGTGAAATAAATAAAAGAAAGTGTAAAAGAGAAATAAAGCTAAAGTGGCGGTGTTTCACAAACCAATGCACTCAAAGGGACTTCAAAAGTTTCAACAAGTTTTGTAAGCTATGAATATCTCAAGATGGCGTAAACAAACTTGAAAGTATGTGTTTCATAATATTTCCATGGAGCAAAATAATCTCAAACTGCTGTTTTGAAAATATCCTGTCCCTCACAATAGATAAATCCACAGACGAAATTTCAATAACCATTAGAGTTTCAGAGCAAAAATCCTACCATTTTCTGCCAAAAAGTTTGGAGAAATTTTTGATGAACCGAGCAGCGAGCGGTTCGAAGATAAAATTGAGTTTGTGTACCAAAATCATATCATTAATTAAGTCTAAG